ATTAACACCAAGAAAAAAATAATTTAAACTTATTATTTTTCAAATCGCTTATTATTGCGTAATATAATAGCAAACATAGTAATGAATCAATTAACATTGCTAAAATAGTATCGGTCAGGATTTTAACCGGTCGGTCACAAACCTTTGACCGACCGATATCGGTTACGACCGTTCATTGACCGGTCATAACCGTAACCGACCCACCCCTAGTCCCACATGTTGATTTTATATGATTTACGTTTAAATATTTTTAAGAGATTATCACCATACAAGATATTCTATATAAGTTCCAGATTATTGATCATCAAAAACATTTAATCATCTATACGTACGTACTTAATTCCTGTCCTGAAAGATATCTTTCAAAACTAATCAGGAATACAAATGGTATAAAATATTGCCTTTATTTATTGCAGTTTGTGTATTCAGCAATGAAACTACATTTAGCGATAATGCTACGTATTAATTTTCTTTTGCATATGCCGGATTAATTTAGAATAATCGATAATGTCCATCGCTATCTGTTCTGTATTACTGCTTATCTGGCTTTGCCAATTAATACAACACAATTGGCTGGCTGGTGCCGCTAGAGACCACATGATAATAAGTGTGGCTGAATTCAATTTGACTGGATGACCAAGTGAAATCTTATATAGCATATATTTTGCATTCAGAGAAAAGATTTTCATTTAAATACTAGAACTAATATATAATTTGCTTATGAATTTATTAACATCTAATTCCTAAGTATTATGTCACATACGTAGTTTGCTATTTTACCGCAAAGTATTAATCACAAAGTATCGGAATTGTTTATTCGATTAAGAGATAGTCATATAAAGACAGATAAAACTACTTCGATAGGTTTTTGGTTTGAAATATCAAACGACTTTTTGCGGTGGTAAAAAAAGATTATATCATAGGATATAACTTATATTAACAAGTACATATATACTTAAATTTATCTGGCAAACCTATATTATCACGGCATAGTATCTTTTGGTCGATTATGCATATTGCCGAATATTCAAATTACCGTATTTGCACGTAACAACTCACATGTGCGTTATTTTGAAATTTCCACTTTTTGAAAATTGTATGTTTGACTCAAATAGCGCGCTTTTACCGTCTGAATTTGCATATATGTGTAATACCAGCGCTATATACTTTTTATACCAAATATTTATGCTAATTGATTCAAAATATTGCACATGCGTGTCCCGAAATAACACGCATATGCGCGTCATTATGTGTAAATACGCAATTTTCCTACAGATTAATTATTATGATGCAACACTACCTTGTCTTTTTTTTAACACGGGTCGAAAAGATGAAAATCGAAAACTTATTTTATACCGATTTCAAATTTAGATTGAATTTATATTGATACGGCAAAAAAAAACAACTCTAAAATTAATCTCAAATCGATTACCAGTAAAATTATTAGAAATTTAAATGATTAAGGACCATTTTTGGGACCGAGACTGAACTGAAAAACGTTAATGGTCCGGTCTTATACTGCAGACTGGACCGGACTGGTCCACCACTAAAGTTTAGATAAGTATTCAATTTTTTTAAAAAAATTTTTTTTCGTAGTGTTAGCACCGGAACACGTGATCCACGAGTCACCGAATTCGTCGTAAGACGATCATCAGGTCACGATTCTGCCCCATATATGATTATAATCATTATAGTCAATATATGCGATATAAGCGCTATCATCATTATAAGCGCGATAATGGATATCGGCACCCTAGAAATAGATAGAATTCTGCTTATAAATAACATGTAATTTCGTTCTAGTTATAGAGCGGATTTCATACAAGTAATAAAAACCATTGCCTTACATACGAGTGACTGTAGAGAACCATTGTCATAATAAAATGCTTACCCGAATTATTGATAAATCCCATCCCATTAGTACAGTATATCCCGAAGTAGTGAGGAATACTGAAATTATTGAGATATTAGAGAAGTAGCCTCGGCGTAGTGTAGGCTATTCTGGAATAATCCGATCCGAATCGAAATCGCTCGCCAAATCTACACGCCTCTTTCGACCGAAAGCCGTCCGAACGTTACACGAAGTCGACCTTCGATTAGCCGATTTAGGAACTTTCAGTAGTCTTATTTTATTTCGCCTTCGTTTTCAACCATAAGGTTATGGTTGGACTATATACGAAAATTCTCTTCGAATTTTTTGAATTATCTTTGAATTTTTCTTTATAAATATAATCAGGTCAAAGTCATATTATCGGTGAATTTATTAAAAGACATACACTTCAAGATTAAGACAAATATTAGCTAGCTTAACGATCCATATTTATTTTGATATTGCTTTTTAGTCAATCAATCCAATTAACATGAACAGTTTGTGAAGTAAAAATTACAAACAATAACTTATTTTGTTTTTAAATTAAGTCAAAAAAAAAACTAGAATTATAGAATTCCAAATTTGAATTTCTTCACCCTGTCATATTTAACTTAAAGAATCTTTTGAATTCACCAAGGTAGCAAATCCAAACTCAAATACTAGTTTGTCTCGAGAATTATTAAATAAATCTTATTCCTTACTTCATTGCTAATTTTAACCTAATACTGATTGAAACTGTTTGTTATCGATAAGTGCATTTTATGCACGGTCTTCTCATTAATTTTTAATGGGATATTTTTTATAAAATATAAAAACCAGGAATGAACGGTTTCACTTAATATGCATTAACCGAATCCAGTCCTATTAAAACATTTTTGATAAAACAAAAGATTAATTTAAAATGATTATTATTAAAAAGTACAAAATGTGGGTTTTAAGAAATACTATAGGATTTATTATAAAGACATAATTATGTTTATCAGTAAGAATATTAACGTGCAATAAATTAATGATTTCATTTCTGGAATAATCTTAGTAGAACTTGACGTTGCAGTAACTGTAGCAAGACCATTTGAAGTTGGACTTGGATTTGGAAGTGATGCTTGATCTCTGATCGTATATCTATTGTAATGAAAAAAGAATTATGATTATAAATTAAGATTTAAACCAAAAAAAAAAAAATTCAATAAATTTTAAATAAAAATACCCTAAAGTTTGTAAAAATGCTCTTAATTTCGGACCAATTGGACCATATGAATAATTTCCACCCTTTAATATATTTTGTTTAAGTGATATCCCTCTTTCTGCTGCAAATCTCATCAAGAAATCACTAGTATTACTATATGTTTTATAACTAAAATGGCTAATACTTGAACCAGTTGAATATGGAACCAACGATGTTTCAAGAATAATGGCATCATTGAGATTGGTATTGTCAGGTAAAAATCCTAAACTATTTGGTGTGGTAGCTCTTAAATATAATTGTGTTGCATATTGGCCTTGAGGTGATAAAAGGAAAGTCTGTAAAAAACTTTCCGGAGTAAGATACTGTGTATTACCGAAAACATCCATTTGCGCGGTGATATTTGATACTCTTGGACCAGTAGGGAGCTCATACATATATTTATCGAATATGGCTTCAACAAAATGGTAAGTATTTGAATCCTCTACGATATAGGGTGTTAATGCTTGTATGGAGGCGGCAGTGCTAAAAATATCAGATCCATAAAAAAGTATCGAATGATCATTAAAGCTGGAAATAAATCCTAACCCATGTATTAATTCATGTAATATAATCATTAGAAAGTCAAGCTGATCTGATTTTATATCTACACCATCTTCTTCAAACCAATATGACATGTTATTACTATTGAAAATAGCGATGATATCATCAGGACCAAATTCAGGATGATTTTGAATATTTTTTTGTTTTACAAGAGCTTGTGGGTAGAATCTATTTACACTACCACCATCATCAATTATCATGCTCCTCGCCGGTGCAGCCGCACCTAATAAGGTACAATTACAGTATAGTAATGAGATGCCCAATAATTTATTTTCGTTCACAAGTTACCTTGATATATTACACTTACCGATTATTCTGCCTTCTAATCCCTGGCTTGATGTTTTGCACAGACCGTATACCGCACAAATATCTGTGAACGTGGCATTAATTCTAACAGTTTGTGTGAATATAATTGCGTCAGAAAGTATTTGTCCAGCAGAAGTAAAAGCTCTTTGTACTTTTCCACAAAGTACTTGATCCGTAATATTACATGCAAAACCAAGTTCGAACATATTTGTATTATTCGTACTAATAAGTTTTGAACTTGAGGAAGTTGTATTTTTTGTTACCATGGGGCATGGTACTATTGTTATCTCATGAGGTTGGAAAGGATTTTTTCGATCATAACAAACCGAATCTGCATCTACAAGGCTGAATACTATAATCAATATTAAGAATATCTTAAGTCTCATGTTCGGTTTCCGAATTTTTTTTTGCAATGCTAATTATCAGCGTTGATTTTATTAAATTGTACTCACTTGTTTTATAAAGTGTTTAAGTATTTACGGAAGAAAGTTGCACCCACTGTGTAAATATTTAGGTAGGACTTGTTTATTTTGTTAGACCATCAAATTTGCAAGAAATTTCATACGTAGTGTATTTGTGTACATAATGATCACGAACTAATTTATAAAATTAGTGTGAAAAATGTGGTAGTGATTTGATTTTTTAGTTAATTACATTGCAGAATTCAATAGAATTTAACAAGGAATTCAAGATAAAACAGAAATAGAAAGATTAAGAGATTATTGGTTTTCTGAAATTACCAAGTCTAAATTAGAAAATGATGATAAACAAAAATTTAATAAACTCAAAGAAGAACATATAAGAGAATTAGAACAAACACAACCTGGCACAAATGATTTTAATCATATAAGAAATAAAATACATAATGAAAAAGAAATACCAAATCTAGAAATGAATAGATGTTGGTTTAGAGAAATTAGAAATAGCAGAAACTTGTCTGAAGAACAAAAAGTTGCTTTAAATATACAA